AAATTTCATTCCTGGGCTACTATAAAGTCCCAAAGGCAACGTAACCAATCTGGCGAATTTCAATTTCAAATGTAACGTGCTATATTTTTTTTTTGAAAATCTTTATTTAAGGTTTTTCGGTATGAGAGAAGAACATAGTTCAAAGGCAGATAGACATCAGACTTTTTAGCGTTAGGTATTCGTCTATAACTTCATAAGAGAATACGTGTAAAGCATTTCACATATTTGTCCATGGACAATTAAGGTTACAATATATCACTGTGCATGGTATTTGCAAGTTAAGGTGTTAGCGTGCCTTCCTTAATAGTGTGTGTTGTAGGTTCAAGGGAAGAGAGGAATCAAGAGAGGAGGAGGGGTGGGGGTGGGGAGAAGGAGGTGGGGTACATAGAATAAGATAAGGGGCGTTCATATAGAATAAACTAAGATAGAGTAGAATAGAATAGAATGTAGTGCCCCCCTTAAATCATCACCAACCCTCTTGACTTACAGTGAGCCCATTATCACTTGTTTATGTATGCGAGGCGGACGGCCTCTGGTGTTGCTTGGGTGCGTGTGTGTTAGGTTCCAGCAATTTATCTAGCCACCTAGCAGTACCTGTTTAGATATGTGGACAAAGGAGAGGGAGAATGAAGGAGTAACGGGCATGCACCCATCGTGTAAAGGGCATGGTCGGGGTATCACGGTGTTTGGGAGCGTGCATTGGCCTTGCCCCGGAGAGCCCTGCGCCCCTGCACGTGTCGCCGTTCCCAACATCCCTAACCCCGTGTGTTTTGTGATATGAAGGCAAACCATGGCAGCCATCGCTCTGCGTGTTTACCTCCCCTGTCTTGCAGGGATGCCTGCAACGCTTCGGCCCCTTGAATATCCTCAACTCTGCGAATGCATTCCTCTTCGCGGGGTATTTCCGTCCGTTTCCAATATAGCGGGATGAGCGACTTGGCTGCATTTAAGAGATGTCGAAGGATGGATTTTTTGTAGGAGGATAATGACATCTGCGATATGTGTAAGAGGGCCAGTGCAGCCGACCAGTCCGTCATGTCGCCCAGTATTTCTATTATCCTCTGTCTGATCAAGTTCCAGTACAGGGTGATTTCGCTACACTCCCACCAAATATACATCATCGTCCCCCTTTCTCTCTGGCACCTCCAGCATGTTGGGGCGACGGTTGGGAAAATCCTGTGCAGAAGGACAGGTGCCTGTACCAGGAGGCTATCAATTTGTAGTTTGTTTCTTGAAATTGGGAGCTAACCGAGCTCTTGTGTTGCCAAATAAGCGCTTTGTCCCATTGTTGGGGTGTGAAAGTTGTGTCCATCCGTTCCTCCCATTGCCTGAGGAACCTTGCGTTCGTTGTCAGGTGTCCTGTCAGAAGGTTTTGGTAAAGTGTAGAAATAGCATTGTCCAGTACGATCCTCCTCTCGCAGCAGTCTTCCAGCCAAGTGCGTTCCCTATGCAGTTGTTCCTTATTCCGTATACTATCGTAGTAATGTTTCACCTGTAGGTAACGAAAAACTGCCAGGGGTGTAGGTCGGTCGCCGCATCCGGCGGGATTGTTGATCTGATCGCATCGCGGAGGTATTCTTGTGTGCGTGCCATTATCGCTGCTGACTGTGACTGTGTTTCCATCGCATCTAAGTTGTATCGGGATAGGTAGAATGACTTGAACTCCCCTGCAATGTCTGTCAGGAAGCCAGAGGTCCCGCCCGTTGCGAGGTGCAACTTGCGAACCTGGGTGCGGGGTGTCTGGCCTCTTAGTAGGCGGGCAAGGAATCGTCCCCCTTTATTAGCATTTGTATAAAAAAATGCCTTAGAGCGTTGCAGGGAGCGGTGATGGCGCTTCATAAGGAGCTCCTTTAGTTGTCGCCTGGTTTGCATCAGGTCCCGGTATGTCTCCATGAGGTGTGACCTTTTATGCTGGGTTTCCAAATCCGTGATTCGCCTGTAGAGGTCAGCCATCTCGCTCATTGCTGCCTTCTTCTTATGTGAGGCTATGCGTATGAGCGTGCCCCGAAGGACGCTTTTATGGGTCTCCCAGAGCTATATCGGAGAGATGTCTGGAGTCACGTTATCCTGAAAGTAATGGGTCAGTGCCTGGGAGATTTGTTCCCGTGTGCCAGGGTACAGGAGGAGGGTCTCGTTAAGTCTCCATGTCCATATGGAAGGTTGAAAAAGTGGAGACTCGAGCTCCACTACAACTGGGCCGTGGTCTGACCACGTGGCAGGTTCTATCTTGGCCGATATCAGACTCGATAACCCAGCTTGTCTAATAAAGAGGTAGTCGATGCGGGAGTATCTATCGTGAATTGCGGAGTAGTATGTGAAGTCCTTCACGGAGGGATTGAGTGTTCTCCAGCAATCCGCTAGATCCATATCGCCCAGAGCTCTTCGGATAGCTTGTATATGTAGTTGTGTGACACTGCTGTGTCCCGTAGAGGAATCCAAAAGGGGGTCTAGTGGGACATTAAAATCGCCCCCGAGGACTAGGATGCCTTCCGAGAAGTCATTTAGTTTTGCCAGGGTGCTTTTCAGGAACATGGCCTGTCTTTTGTTGGTGACATAAATGTTGGCAAAGGTGTATATCTTGCCCGCTATTACCCCCTTTAAAAAGAGGTATCTGCCCTGTGTGTCCTTGATGCTGTCCAGTTCCTGGAATTCCAATCCCGCGTAGATCAGTATCGCTACTCCAGCCTTCCTCGCCGTGGGGTGGTTGCAGAAGTGGTTTGTTGGGTACGACTTATTCTGGAGCTTGGGTGTCGCGCCGGGACGAAAGTGCGTTTCCTGTAGCATCGCCACCGATGTGTGTCTTTTCTTAAGTTCTCGCAGGAGGTGAGTCCTCCGTTCCAGGATGTTCAATCCCCTGCAATTAAGGGTGAGGACAGATATGGGAGCCGGTCGATAGGCCATGGTTTCTCAGTGTGTGAGGGATATGTGTGGTAAGTGATGAATTCCCGAATCTCCTCCCACCCCAGCCCGGCCCTCGTCACTCCGCGTGGGCGCAGGCTCCCGTGGCAGGCCAATTGGAGCGGGGAGGGAGGGAGTCCGCCTTAGCTGGTAGTGGGGCAGATAGAGGGTAAGGTAAGGGGTGGGAGGGGGCAGAAAGAAGAGGATGACTGGAGGGGGGCGGGTGTGGGCAGAGATAGGGGTGGGTTAGTAGAGAGGGGGAAGAGAAGGAGAAGAAAAGTAAATGTCCCTTCCAATGGACGTTTATGCCGGGGTAAGAGGTACCCCTCGTGTGCCACCCCAAGGAGTGGGGTGACTCGTGCTACGGCAGGCAGCCCAGGGGGCACATCTTGGTAACCAGACCTATAGACGACCCACTGTGGCCCGTCGTGTGTCGTGAGCACGAGTGTGGGTTGAGGTGTGTGGGTCAGTACCCGACCAAGTGGTATCTGGTGGATGTGGAGAAGGCGTAGCCGTCCACGTAGTACCCCGTTTTTGTTAAATACACGTATTTCATGAGGCGATTTGATGCATAGATGAACATGTAAGAATAACAGAACAACAGTATGAGTAGCAACTAAACAGCATGATAACAATAGTACAACAGTCAACCGACTTTGTCTTGCCCGTCTGTCCCGTGACTCCCGGGGGTCGACCCCCCCGCATAGTCAGTGCCCCTGCCCCCGTTATAGAGGCGATGCCTACAGTGTCCGCCCTAAGGCTGGGAGATCGATATTTGTTGTGTGGAGACGCCCTTTGTCAGCCCCGGGCCCCCCCCCAGTCGTGTATGTACAGTGGGTCCGGTAGTGGGTATGTGCCGGTCCGGTTCCGTGTTGTCCCTTCCTTCCCCCACATATGTAGCTCGCCCATCTCTAATGCGTGCAGTATGGGGTGGGGAGAGGTAGTATGTGTCTTGATGTCAAATTATTTCCCCGCCCATGCAATTCCCCCTCGGTCCCTGTGTGGCGTACCCACCCCATTCAACGCCTGGGAGGGTCACATGTACACATATTAATCCAGAGTCCCATTACTACATCTTTGTCCAATAGACCTATAGATGGTTCATAATGGTATAGCATACTGCTCCATTAGTGGGTTTCAGACTATTAGGTCTTCGCTTCATATGTACCATAGGGTGAAGTGTCCTAGGTGCACCTGAGATGTCCGCTTTGCTCTCACGGCCTGCCCAGTGTCCCCAGTCCCCCTTGTATCCCCCACCCAAAAAATTATATATAAGGACCCAAGTCAGGCGGCCAGTTGGGGTTCGTGTGCCCCCATCCAACCTCCCCCGGCCAAGCGTATCCTCATGTAGGCTAAGTCCCGAGTTTGGGAGGGATGGGGGCCGAGTGCCGGTCGAAAGCATGGGGGCTGTGGCGTGTGGGTAGAAATTTCCAATGGGGTATAGGAGGGAGCATTCCTCCTCCACTCCACTCATCGCAGCTCCACGCATGGTCTTTCAGATGTCGCCCTGATGGTGGTATAGCGACTCGTTCAGGAGTCAATCACGGGTGGGAACATGTAAGCTATGGTAGCCTGGGGAACAAGGAGGGGGGAGGGGAGAGCTGCCCCGTTCGCAGGGCGCCAAACTTAGGTTCTAGGGTATGCCCGTGGGGTTGCATCAACGTGGCAGCGGGGACCCGGGGTACGGGCACGGGTTCCTATCTCTGGGAGCGCTACTCACTCAGCCTGGCCTCCCGGATCCATGCGCCGTCTGGGAGGTTGCCGCGGAGGGGATCCGTCTCTTCACCTTCGTGGAGCTCTCTGAGGTCACGGACCCTGTCCCACGGGTCCAAGGACCCAGTTTGTGACCGGGGTGGGTGGTGTCCCCAGGGTCTCCAGAAAATGCGGTATCTCCGCCGGCCACCTCGCAGATATCCAGCCTTCTTGGTGGTGGGCCAGCAGTGCGAATGGAAAGCCCCATTTGTAGTTGATGTGGTGGTCACGCAGGGCAGTGGTAACCGGCATCAGAGCTCTCCTGGCGGCAAGTGTAAGGGGGGAAAGGTCATTATAGATGGAGACCTGGGAGTTTCAGTACGTCCATTCCGGACGTTCACGGGCCTTTCTTATGATAGAGTCTTTAACGGGGAAGGAGTGGAGGCAGCAGATGAGGTCCCTCGGTCCGTCTTCAGGTGAGCACGGGTGAGCAGCTCTGTGTGCCCGTTCGAATTCAAAATGTCGGGGCGCCTCTTCCTGCCAAAACCTCCTCCGTTTTCCTCCCCTCCTGTCTCCGGAACCCCGCGGACCCGGATGTTGCACCTGCGGCCTCTATTGTCGAGGTCCTCCAGATGTCTTCTCACGTCGAGGAGCATGTCTCCTTGCCGCGAGACCGCCATGTCAGTTGCCGAGATCCTATTGGATTGGGCCTCCACGGAGTGTTCCAGGACCTCTATGCGGCTTCCTTGAGCGGTAACTTCCGTTCTGATGCCTGCCATCTCCGCCCGTAGGGCGTCCTGTATCGTGGTGGTGAGGGTGAGCAGGTCAGTTTTAGTGGCCATAGAGGCTGCAATAGAGCGGAGTTCTTCACTTATCCGGTCCAGGGTGGAGTGTTCCCTGCCCGTTGACGAGGCAGGGGATGGTGGCGCCGACCTCGGGCCTACCAGCTCCCCTCCGGAACCAGGAGTCGGCTGTAGAAAGGAGTCCATGGGACCCTGAGGTTGGTTTTGTTGGGAGCCCCTCGGTGTCTGTGGGGGCTCCATTTGCCTGTTGCGACCCATCCGTTGTCTGTGGCTATATATAATCGCTTTTTTAGGGGTGTAGTGGAGCGGAGCGCACAGAATAAGCGGCCATCTTGGTCAAGGTCTTGGCCATGCCCCCTAACGTGCTATATTTGACCCTGTAACTTCCCAAAACGCCATAAAACCTGTACATAGGGGGTACTGTTTTACACGTGAGACTTTGCTGAATACAAATATGTGTATTTTATTGCAGTAAAAGCAAACGGTATTATGACATTGACCGTTAAAATGTCATGTAGAACTAAAAAAAAATAAAAAAAATTATTTTCTCCCATTGTTTTCATATTAAATTATGTTTCATAGCTAAATATTTGATATTAAATGAAAGCCCCGTTTCCCCTGAATAAAATGATATATAATAAGGGTGGGTGCATTTAATATGAAAGAGGTGAATTACGGTTGGACAGACATATAGCGCAAATGCCAGGTTTTGTTTACATTTTGTTTCGTTCACAACGTGTACATTTGGCTCCGTCCTTAAGGGGTTAAAGTGGTTTTGGTGCCTATAATATTATTTTTTTGTGTGTATTTTAAAAAGGCTATGTTTCTCTCTTCATTTATCAATTTAACTACTAATTTATGGGCAAGGTGGAGAAATGTCTGAACTGATTAGGTAGTTGCAAATTGTAGACCAAAATATCAGATCTGTTTGGCTAGTCTGATCTTACTTTTTTAAATCCTGATAAAATTCCCAATTGTTTTCAGTTTAGAGATTAAAACTACTGAGTTTTGAAAAATGTACATCAATCATTGACTTTAATATTTTCTCAAACTCTGTAATCACAGCATGGCTGTTTACCCTTGAAAAATATTTTAATTTAGTTTTTTCACCATATTCCACTGTTAACTTACTAAACCCTTGTAACTGCATGCCATAATGAGACATATTATATGAAATATATGTTGTTTTTGAAGTTATTTACTAGTGTTATTTGAAATCCAGTATACCTACAAATGTGTGGTCAGCAGGGATTGATTTTGAGTAAAATGAGTTGCTTTAAAAGATCTATGAAACATTCAGAGGATATCTGTACTCCAGTAAGGATGATGAAGAGTCATTTAATCTATGCAGTTTGACAGATACTTCGATGCTTCAACCAGGGGCAGGTAATATGATCCTATTAGTTCAATCTGTTCCAAATGACTTTTTTTTCCATGACTGCCACCGACTGCACTACTTTGCAAACTTTAATATTTGATATGTCAGTCAAACCATTGGTCATAATATGCCAGGCACATAATTTTCATAAAGTGTGACAATGAACACAAGCCACATTTAGCTGAGTATGTTGCAATGATGTGATATTCTAAACCACATAGTAAGCATCTGAGTAATCAAATTATGTATTAAATATTGACCAAGTTATTCTCCTTTTTAATCTTTTTAAAATTACTACTGCACAAATGCAAACCAAGTTTTAATACATCAGCTTTAGCTCTACATTTTTTCTAATCTCTTAATCCTTTAAAGAAATATGCATTTTTCCTTTCATTGTTTAAATAGTTAATAGCTAGGAAAATCAATTTGTTTCCTAATACTTTCACATAAATATTGAAGAACACATTTAATTAGGAGAACTATTTCATTATTTGCAATTAGATTTAAAATATGAGTGATGTGCAAGTTAGAAATGTTTAAAAATTATATTATGCTTGCTTCTCACCTTATATTGATCTCAAATTTTTTGATTGTTCCCAGGATGACCGCTCTTCTATTTCTTGGCTAATTCCTTACTATTTTTAAAGTTTCCTAATTGTATTACTTTCATATCTGGAGATTCATGGAAATAGTCATGTATTGGTTTATAGGAATACTGTCTTCAAAATGTTTTAATAGCATAACATTCCATCTCATTATATTTTAATTCATGTATATTGCATTTTTTTTCAGAAACCACTTGCTTACCTTTCAATGTCAATTCTGACATTGATGTATCTGTATATCTGCATCTTTGATTGGATTGTCAGTGTATTTTGTAATTTTGAAACAAAACCAACAGTTGTTGGGTCACCCACCTCCCAAAGGAGATGGATGCCTTTCTGGAGAACATGGAATTAATTCCTGGAGGCACTCTACTGTAGCAGGAGTGGTCAGGAAGCTTAAAGATCTATGCAATGCTTGTGTGAGTTAACAAATGTTGAACTGCCTTAAATGTATGCTGGCTTCCCTGTTTAATCCTAGGATTAAAGGGAAAATTGACAAAGATGTGCACAATGAACCTAACAGACAGTAGGAAGAATGTCAAGAATGCTGAGACAACCCAAACACATTTAGGGGTGTGATCAGGGGCAGGACTGTTCTGAGTAATTTTAGGTGACTTCATAACAATTTATACTACTATTTAGAACAAGAACAATGTATCTTACTTATACAGACTGATTTCTAAACATATGGTTGTAGTATTGTAGTGTATTTATTGTAATAATGTAGTAGAGCTCTGTTATACACTCTTACACAGTAGCAATATGGAGCCCCTAGAAAACAGGGCCATTAGGATAGAAAAGACAGGGGGTTTGAACCTGAAACAGGGACTGTCGCTCCTAAATAAGGACACTTGGGTGATATAGCTTAAATTCAGCATTTCATAGTGAAACATTGCATATGCAAATTTCAAGCACCATGACCATTTCAAATTAATGGAATGGTCATGGTGCTTGCAGTAACCCTTTAACACATTCATGGTATGCATGCATGAAGATTCCTCCAATTGGGTCTACTGAGCTTTCAACAAAAAGCTAAAAGCAAGATTTATTTTTAAAGAAATTACAACTTGTTACTTTTGTATGCATTATTCCCATTGTATACTGAAAAATACAGTAATATGTAAATAAAATGTAAACACATATTCATCTATATGAAATCTATATATGACATTCAAGATAAATATCATCAATGAGAACAGCACAAAATACATGTCTAACTACAACATATAGAGAAGAACAAACAATAGTTTCAGAACAGGACAGTCACTGTGTCACTGTGTACCATTTTGCCTAGAAAAGCTATCCTGTATCCAAGAATCCATCTACTGAGATTAGTTCAGCTTCTGAAGTGCAAAGACTATGTGAACTGGGAGCACATCCAGAACAAGTATTTGTTGATAATGGTGCTGTTGTAAATATCCATCTTATGTATAAAAATTTATAATTTTATATGTAACAAAGTCAATTAAAGGAACACTACAAACATATTTTTAATGCAAGGTCAATTAAAGGAACACTACAAACATATTTTTAATGCTCTGTAGGTGTGCACTCCATTTGCAGGGATTTAAAAGCAAAGAACAAATTGTGATAAGGTCTCTTTCAAAATTTACACCACCACTCCAATAATAACCCAATTACCTTATTACCTTATCTTCTTTGGTCAAGGTTTTAAAAGGTAAGCTTCACTTTACCATGCCCAATTCCAGGTATTTCTGGAGTTAATCAGTACAGGTTAACCCAGTGGTTCCCAAACCAGTCCTCAAGGATTTAGAGATTACCCTGCCCTGTCTAAGGTTTATTTATTTATTTATTAAAACATCTTAGACACAACTGGGTAATCCCTACATCCTGGACTGCTAGGGGTGCCTTGGGGACTCATTTGGAAACCACTGGGTTAACCTCTATGGGGCAAATTACTTTATAGGCCCTGGGGAGTGGGTATCTTACAGACCCATTAATGATTACCTTTTAATCCAATATCCATGGGGTAAAATATTGAGTATGGGCTACTCATCATGGTACCTTACATTTATTTCTTATAATTTTTTACATTTTCCGATGTGCCCTTTGTAACGGTTGTTGTTTTTATTATTTATTGTTAGTCGTACTTTAAAATAATAATATAAAAATCAAGAGGGACTTACCTCTCACAAAATTGTGTTGTTTCAGATAGATGTACATAAAATAGAGAAAGAGATATATAGTGCATTATTGTAATATCTAAAGCAAGCATGTCAAACTCAAAGACTAACATGGGCCAAATAAACAAGGTTTACGTTTATGTGGAAGCCCCCCCCCAAAAAAAACACTACAGTATAACAAAAAGTTGCCTCCCTCCTCCCAGTACTCTAATACACTGCCCTCCCTCCCCCAATTTATTACACTGCCTCCTCTCCCCCAATTTAATACACTGCCCTCCCCCCTATTAAACACACTGCCCCTTCCCACCACTCTAATACACTGCCCCCACCACTCTAATACACTGCCTCACTCCCTCCCTTAATGTAATACACTGCCACCCTCCCTCCCCCAAATTAATACACTGCCCTCCCCCCATTTAATCATACTGCCCCCTCCCACCACTCTAATACACTGCCCCCACCACTCTAATACACTGCCCCACTCCCTATCTTAATTTAATACACTGCCACCCTCCCTTCCCCAAATTAATACACTGCCCCTCCTCACAAATTTAATACACTGGCCCCCTTCCTCCTCTAACTTAATACAGTGCCCCTCCGTTAAATTAATACAATGCCCCCCTCCCCAAGTTAACACACTGCACAGGAAGGTCCCCCAAGCCCCTTTTCCCCTACGTTAAGATGAGCTGCCCGTTCTCCAGTTCCATCCTTGCTCAAGCAGGCCAGATGCTCCTCTGGCACTGCGAGCAGGAGGGAAGGGAGAGTGACTGGCATGCAGGAGCATGCGATCGGTCGTGAGAGGGAAAACAAGAATTAGACAGGAAATATCTTTCCTGTCTTGCGGCTGGTTGCAGCCACAACACAAAGTGGCCCCAGGGCAGGTGGGACGCAAATATATCCAAGTTATATACATGGACCGCAAGTTTGACATGTTTGATCTAAAGAATTATAGAAGTGAGTGAATATAAACTCACAAAGATTACAGCCTTTTCAGGGTATTGGTTCTAAACTCAAGTATTTGTGTGCCTTGAGGTGGCATACACGACCTCTCTTCAATGGATCAAAGCATCAGTCACTCCCAATGGAATATGCAGAGAGAATAAAACAGAAAAA